ATGCTGAAGAAGATATTAGCTATTGTTAATGTTATCTTTGAGAGCTGCATAAAGACAGCTTATGCAGAAAATCAGCAGCTGAAAAGCGCTCTAATATTGGGTTGGGAAAAAAGTTATCTATTATTCACTATATTAGTAAGTTCTTAACAAGGAGCACCCCAGCTATTGTTTTGATATAGCATTGTCTCTTGTTACTAAATCCTATAATATGATAATGACAATTATATTATTATTATATTATATGAGTCTTTTGCCTCTTGTCTGGCTATAAGCTCACCTTATCCCTGCCTAACCCAGAATGAACCCTTCTTTTTTACCCATCGAACACCTGGTAGACTTATATAAAATAAGAAAATTCTATACTATCTAGATTGTCGGAGATTTCAATTGGTTAAGCCAAAGCGTTTTTCGAGTTACCCCAGTTGCTTATAATTCTGAAAAGGTTCATGCTTTCAATAGTTGAAATACTTTGGGTGACTTTTGCTTAGATTAATTTTAAATATTTTGTTGCTTATTTATATATTTAATTTAACCATAATTCATAGTTACATCTAACAGAAACCCTTTTCCCTTATGCTGGCGCTTCTAATTTAATAAGTTTCAATTTAATTTTCTCTAATTTTCCATAAGTTTTAAGCACTTTTTAATGAGACAAATTATCAAACATGGAATTTACAGATAAACTCCCACCAACCCCAATACCTTAGATATCAAATTAACTGCGCATACACACACACACACACACACACACGCACACGCACACTCGGAACATGCTCTCTGGGGTTTTCATGTCTTGCGGCCATTATAATTATCACGTGCATATTTTTTCTTTTTTTTTTTTACTTATCGAGCATTTTTTAGCCCGCTTTTCATTACATTTAATGCCACGAAAGAATTTGAAAAGCATAACAAAAACTAAAAGACGCTGACGTCGCAGTCGCTGTCGCTGTCGCAGTTGCTGTCACAGTAGCAGTAGCAGCAGCAGTCGCAGCCGCCGTCGCAGTCGCAGTTGGCGCTGTTAGCGGCCGAGTAAAACTTGGTAATGGACGCGCACGGTTGACTTTCATGGCTCAGTTGGGGCAGTTAGCCTAGCTCCAAACTTGAAGCATGTTTTGTTTTGCAGTTGTTGTTGTTGTTGTTGTTGCAGTCATTACCGGCATGACAAGCACAAAAATGCGTTGTTCGTGCGCAGACGCAGCCGCAGCCGCAGTTGCCGTCGCGGCCCTTTGCGAAAAAACTGCACTTAACTGGGCGGCAACTAGGGCTAGTCTAAGCTACTACTAGCTAGTGTTAGCTACTACACAGTACAAAATTTGAATTGAATTTAGAAAATCTTAAAAACACTTTTCTAATGAACTTTCAATTTTAAAGCAAATTTCTGCTCTTTTCTTAATATATATAATAATAAAATTTAACAACAATTGGCAAAGCAGAGCTTTAAATTATCTAATCATTGCAAGCATCGAACCAGGAGTCGCTCGCGTTTCAAGGGGACGTCTAATCGCTGAGCTACACCCGCGCAATCGACCAAGCTTGTTATTCAAATTGAATACAGAGCTGAAGAGAGAGAGAGAGAGAGAGAGAGAGAAAAAGACCCTAGAGAGCAATTAAATTTAGAAGGAGTGAGCATTAAAATTGCAATAGAAGCCACTTGATGTTAAATTTAAATTAAGGGCAACAAATTTCAACTTTAATTAATTGAAAAATAAAAAATAATTGAATAGAAGTTCGTTGTAATTTAAAGCCAAATAAAAAATTATGAGTATAATTTTCACCTTGGTTTTTAGCCAGAAGATTTAAGATATTGAAAGGAAATGCAAATCTGCTTCAATTGTTATCGCAAACCAAAAAAAAAATGATTACAAAATAAATATCTACTATTGTTTTTTTTACTGTGTAAAGCCACAAAGTAGTCTATCGATTAATAGACTGAACTCAGTTGAACCCTGAAGAACACGTGTCACTAGCCAGACAGCCGGGCTGATTTCCATATCTCTGGACGCACTCAGCTAGCTCTAGAAGCAGCTGCAGCCAAGCGTAGCTCTGGCCAGGCTATAGACCACAGTCAGCTCTAAGAACCGAGACAGCTTTACACAAAGAAATGGCCGCCCAAAGACCAGAGCAACTAATTTGGCTTAGTTAAGTGCATTGCGGCAAATGTCAGCGGCAATCGAATCAGTGTGACCAGAATTGGGTGTGACCAGAAAAATCAGATACAAGAACCTGTTGCATTTGGCCAACTTTAAAAATTTGGCAACAATCTCTGCTGGGGCCACACCCCAACGATAACCTGCTGCGGCAGGCAACAATCGCTGCCAACTCACGGCTAAATAAAGTTTGCATAATTTGGCTTAAAGCAGCTGAAGCCTTTAGGTAAATACAAGTATATATGCAGGTAGATGTTTATAATTGAGTAAAAAATTGTACACAAAGAGTTTGACTTCCGTTGATGCCTGTCACAACGCGATACTCATCCTGTTGCTATCGAGTTGCAGGGCATGTTGCCGCCAGCAACAACAGCAACAGCAGCAACAACATTTTGACCAGATCTTTAGGGCTGTTACCGCAAAGTGGAAACGGAAGTGTCGCCGTGTCCAGACATAATGCTGCAGACGGGCAGACGGGGAGACGGACAGACGGAGAGACAGCCTCTCAGCTATTAGCAATGACCTTTAGGATCTGTTGGCACAGAAACCAAAGCAATGCGCCGAGGCAACAGCCAGCAGCAATCTGCAACCTGCAACCTGCAGCCTGCAACTTGCAACCAGCAGCGCCAGTTTTTTATCCACCAGTTGCTGCTGCTGCTGCTGCTGTTCTGGCTGATCATTTAGCTGCAAAAAGTCAGCTTTGAGTGGTAAATGACAGTGTGAGCAACTGCAATTACATGCCTCAAGCAGTTGCCAGTTTCAAGTTGCCAGTTGCCAGTTGCTGGCAGCAATAGTTGCCGTAGAGTCCCTTGTCACGTATTGCGCTGCCAGCATACATGGGCATACTTAAGGGGCATTAATGTAGTTTATCATCAGAGAGCATGATAGATACGCGCACTCCATACCTAGCAATATTATGACAAGGACGACCAATTGACAGTGGGCATTGAACACCAATTTCAGATTAGTTCGAGCAACAGTGATGATCAATTTCAAACAGTTATATCTAACAAAACTGAAGGAATGAACATTATTTTAACATAATGTATTATTTTCAAACAGTTGTAACTATCAAAACAGAAGGATTGAAGTAAGTAAGCATTTCTTTAACATAGTGTATTATTTCAAAATAATAATAAGTATCAAAACTGAAAGATTTATGTAAGTTAACATTACTATAACATAGGGTATTATTTTAAAACATTTATGTAAGTTAACATTACTTAAACATAGTGTAATATCGATTTAAAATCAGGGCAACAAAAACAAACAAAATTAGCTCCCTGCCTCTAGGTTCGATTCATGAACTAGGATTTGATCATACATGAACCCAGGCTTTATTTGAACCAAACCATTTATACATTGTTTTGTTTACCCTGAACCCAGGCTTTATGATATTTATTTTATTTTTTGTTATTGCTTAAAGTAAAACCTATTTTCCGTCATTAAAATTTATTTTGGGTGTATAAAACATTATCAAATATCTATAATCAGAAGTTATATCAAAGATTGTCTCAGTCCTGTCTGACTTTTTGAACCTCATCTTCATTAATTTATTTTATATTTACTTAATATTTATTAATTGTTAATTTTCGTTACGGAATTTAATCAATTAAAAAATATAAGAAAAAAAATACAAAAAAAAAAGGGAGTCAAAAAAATCCTTTCCTGCTCGCTTTTGATATATGGAAATTTGAGAATATTTATGACAGCTTTTAAAGATATCGCAGCACACCAACTTTTCACTCTCGCTGTCAGCTCTGATAGCCCCAACATGGAGCAGTTGCTGTTTTTTTTTCTCCTCTGTTGCAGTTGTTGTTGCTGTTGTTCGCAGTCGAAGTGAAGATCATTAAGAAAGAGCAAAGCGCACATCCGTAGAAGGACATCTGATCGCTTTTTGTTGTCGCATTACACAACCGCAACAGCAGCAATGTGTGTGGAGCTGAAAGGGGGGGTGTGGGGCGGTGTAAGGGGTATATGAATATAAGTATGAATAGCAGAAAGGCGAGAGCAAAGCAAAATGCGCAAGTAAGTAGTGAGATGAAAGTGCAGGCAACCCCCCGTGGCGCCCCAAAAGCTGACGATTGCAGCCGTTGTTGTTGTTGCTTCTCTTGTGGCTTCCTGTGGCTTACGACGTGTGACGACATGTAGAACTAATTGTCGTCCACTGGCAGCGGGATTGGGGAGCGCTCAACAGCAGCAGCAGCAACTGCAGCAGCAATTGCAGCAGCAGCAGCAGTTGGCGCTGTGACAGACATAAATCAGTTTTGTTTTAGTTATCGGCGCAGCAAGAAGTCGAACTTGTTGTCAAACTTGCCACATGCTGTCTGCCACACAGCGCACCTGTGTCAAGTGTCCGTAAAAGTTGCGTCATAATTGTTAACGTGTCTCTGTGTGTGTTTGTGTGTGTAGTTGGCAGGCGCCCGCCTTAAAAGGCCAAACGAACTGCCTCCCGTCGCGTAGTCAATTCTGATTTTTGGCAACGAGTTAATTAGACGACGTGTGCTTCGTGCTTAAAAGTTTGTTTGTTCAGCTGATTTATCAGGCTCATTTTTACGACCAAAAATGGCGCTAAACAAACGAAAAAATTAGCAACATTTTAGCTAATGCATATAAATTAAAAATCCGGAGATAAAAAGAAAAACAAAAAACTTGCAATCAGACGCCGCTGCTAAACACTCCAAATTGGGCAACGCGTTCGTGTGCCGCCGTCGTGTGGGCCGCAACAGACAACAACAACAGCAACAACAACAACAACAGCAACAAGCAACAACAACAACAGCTTGGAGGTGCCCAACCCCAAAAGACGGTTTAATGAGAGGCGCCATATTTGGGCAGCTTGAAGCTAGCAAGATGCCCGCCACGGCGCTGGCTGCTGCCTCCGGTCACACGACCAAGCTGAGCAACAACCACAACCACAACAACAACAACAATAGCAACAACAATAGCAACAACATTAGCAACAGCAACAACAACATAATGCTGAACAACAATATGAACAATAGCTTATGCAACTCGATCGCCCATCTGAGCGATTCAAGGACCAATCTCACTGTCAACACGCCCACTGCCTGCCAACGTTTAAGGTAAACAATTTAACAGCTAAAATCTGCTTTTTATTTATTTGATTTAGTTGCTTAAAACAAGTTTATACGGTGTGCCCAGTCGCCAGATTAATAAATTATGCTAATTGTTAGCGTGTGGGTCGCGTTTGGCATTACATTGGACACGGCACTCGATTTCCATACACCCGACGACTAATTGGTATTTATTGGGTATTCAGACGTGTCGCATTAGAATTCGAACCAGCCGAAAAGGAGGTTAAGGGAGCGGGGGTAGACAGAAGGGGTGTAGAAAAGAAATGGGATATATAAATCGATTGGTTAACCTATTGTTCAGATAAGAGAAGGTTCCAGAAATAATATAGATTATATAGATTTTTTGAAATTTAAGTCAAATTTTCTTATATTATAGTAAATGTAACTTTACACACTTCTCCCGTCTATGCGCCCACCTATTAAGCCCTTCTACTCAAACGATAACATTTGTATAGATAAGTGTGAAATTTAATCGAAAGATGCGGAAACACATTTCCAAATAGTTAGATATCAAGATGAGATTTTAGATTAGGAGCATTATCTATTTTGGACTTTTTAATCGATAAGACTTTCAATCGTAAACTTTGATAGTTCATAGGATTTATCGTCTATGCTATTAATAGTTATGTCTATTGAATCAAACCTTAGATAAAACTGGATACTTTTGATAGGCGTTAATAAATTTCATCCATATCATTTTTAGATATAAAGAATGTTGTCGGGTCTTTAAGTTATGTTCGAAATGAAGTTTCAACCAAATTTAGGGTTAATAGAAGTGAAAAGCCAAATGCGTGAAGCGTGATTCGAGATACAGAGAATAATTTTACGCTTTGCAGCTATGACCATAATCTAATATATGCAGTTGTATTAGATGTATGCCTAATAGATTATAATCCATTATTTTCATTTATATTATATTTTTTTCTCAGCTTAATAATATTCTATTCAATTTACTTGAGTCTAACATACTAAAGAGTCCGATCATGTTATTATGTTTTATTATCTATTAAATTATTATTTTTATTCATATTTCTATTTAATTTTTATATTTGCAAACAGTGAAATGTTTCGACGCTCCATTGCCAGCAGCACACAGTCGAGTTCCAGGGAGAATACCTACGAGGAGGTGAGTTCCAAATGCCTAATTAATAAGCGTAACCGTATCAAGTAATTGTGCCGATATTTAAATTATAAATGAAGCGTACCCAGAATCGATCAACAGATATATGAGAAACCCAAAAGCCACCCCGCTGTTAGACATATGCATGTAGATCAAAGCTACCTGCAACCAATTCTTTCTACTTCCATCAAAGTTCAGCTAATTAATCAAATCGAATGGCATTTGAGAAATTATTTCGAAGCCCTGTATAAAAAAAACTCATCCGTTTTAAAGGGGCAAAGAGAAACCGCTCTGAATTTCCACGGGGAAAAAACTACTCAAATTACGCGTCGATCGGTTTTCTTGATTTGCTTTTCATAAATATAAATTATTTTGTTCAAGTCGTGCGACGATCATAAAAATCTTTTAGCAAGCCCAACGCACCACACAAAGAAAATTCATGGCCAACTATTTATAAACAAAACATCAGCATATTGGGGTGCCTACCGTGCGTATCTATGCATATGTATCTGTAGCTGTAGCTGTAGCTGTGCCTGTATCTGCAGCTCGAAGTGCGCGGCATGTAATCGGAGCCAGTGGCAACCACTTTCAGCGAATGCGCTCGGGCGAGACAAAAGAGCAAAAGACGCAACCGACGACGTTCGATTTATAAACAGCCTGATCTTCAAGTGTGGCAGCTGCCTCGTCTGTATCTTTAAGATACATTTCTATACATATGCTGGCAGGACCAATGCAGCGCAGCGCATCCTCAGAGCAGCAGCAGCAGTAGCAGGCAATGACCTGCTTTGGTATGTCTATGAAAACATCTGTCGTCGCGGCCTGTACCTAAAACTCGCCTCGTCTACAACAGGCTGTTGGCTAAGGATATTGGCTCGTCTGTCTTGAGGTCCTTGTGCCTTGTGTTATTACAGGCCTTGTCCTGCGTTTGGCGCGCTCGTCTCACAGTTCGACAAGCTGCCTGTCCTTTTGTTGGAGCCGGCACAGGTTTGTCTGCATCTCCCTCTCTCTATCTCTCTCTCTTCCTCTCCCTTTAGCTAGCCAAACATCTGCCTCTGTGTGTCCTTTATGGGCGCGTCCTTTTCGTTGGCTCTTCATTAATTGAATGTAATTTTCATCAGTCCCGAGCTCTGATGGCGGCAAGGTGATAACCGAGTAAATGTCAATGCTTGCCTCGTTGGAAGGTTTATTGCAACGCAGTTTCCGGCTCGAAAGTCGGTGCCATGGCCCTAAACATTGCAAGTACAGTCAATAGCGGGGCAGATTACAAAAATTCCATTGCTTTCGAAACGTTTTAATACGAGTTATTCACACCGAGTTCAAAGAGAGTAGTTGCGTTGCGACAAGAACGTACTTTTGAGTATACGAATAGAACGAGTACTCTTATACTTTGCGTACTTTTGAGTAGTATGCCAGAATGGGTATGAGTAGTTTTATACTCGAAACTGGGATGAGGAATAATTAATGATTAATATCTTTCATAAGCGTATTTTTTAATATTCCGCCAGAATAATTATGAGTAGTATTTATAAACAAGCCTGAGATAGAGCATAACTAAAAATAAATATCTTTCGACATTTGCACAACTGCAAATAAGAAAACTTATCTACACTAGGCGTACAAATAAGTACTTTGAGTATTATGAAAATTCAATGCGTACTTTTAAGTAGTTCAAAACAATGAGTATGAGTATAATGAGTATTTATGATATGAAAATAAAAACGAGAAAGAAGTGCTATCTTCGGCACACCGAAGATTTAATACCCTTGCAGACCCAACCTTTTCAAAATGCTCATAGTGCTTTGCCCGTATCTAAGAAGCACAGGGAAAATAGTTAATGCCGAGTATGGTTAAGATATCTTGAAAAACAAAACAGGTTTCCATACAACAACTTAATTTTCGACCGATCGTTCCTATGGCAGCTATATGATATAGTTGCCCGATGTGAATAAGATTTTGCATAAGTGGAGGGAGCATAGTAAAACTAATAAATGCCGAGTTTGGTCAAGATATCTTGAAAAACAAAAAAATTCCATACAACAGCATAATTTTCGACTGATCGTTCCTATGGCAGCTATATGATATAGTTGTCCGATCTTAATAGAATTTTGCATATATATGGGGACCGTAGTAAAACTAATAAATACCGAGTTTGGTTAAGATATCTTGAAACACATAAAAATTTTCTATACAAAAACTTAATTTTCGACCGATCTTTCCTATGGCAGCTATATGATATAGTGGTCCGATCTTAATAGGATTTTGCATATATATGGGGAGCCTAGTAAAACTAATAAATACCGAGTTTGGTCAAGATATCTTGAAAAACATAAAAATGTTCCATACAAAAACTTAATTTTCGACCGATCGTTCCTATGGCAGCTATATGATATAGTTGCCCGATCTTAATAGGATTTTGCATATATATGGGGAGCGTAGTAAAACTAATAAATACAAAGTTTAGTCAAGATAACTTTATAAACAAAAATGTTTTTCATACAAGAACCTACTTTTCGACCGATCGTTCCTATGGCAGCTATATGATATAGTGGTCCGATCCAGCTGGTTTTGACATATGAGCTGCGTGCAACAGAAAGAGGGAATTCTGCAAAGTTTCATAAAGATAGCTTTAAAACTGAGAGACTAGTTCGCATAGAAACAGACAGACGGACAGACGGACAGACGGACAGACGGACATGGCTATATCAACTCGGCTGTTGATACTGATCAAGAATATATATACTTTATGGGGTCGGAGATGTCTCCTTCTATGCGTTACACATTTCACGACAACATTATAATACCCTCTGCAAGGGTATAATGAATCGCTGTTAAAATATTTTAATCTGCGATTCAGGTAGTGCATTAGCATAGAAAAATAAGTTGAAACAGTCTGGAAGCTGGAATGAAACGAAGTAGTAAGAAATAACAATAAGCTAAGACTAATTGTATTATTTATTTACACTGAGTATAAGCCTGGAAAATTTCATTACTTGTCTGCCAAACTTATAATAGCGATATTATGTAAACGGATACTAATATCTTCCTATATATTCTTCTCAAAACTGTTTTAACTTATCTAATTTGAAGAAGTAATTAAAAGGAGCTGAGTCTTTTTCTTCTTTTTCCATATATTTGGGAAATCTCCAAAGACTTAAGACGTACGCCCTTATAGACATAGCTCTTTTGCTCGCACTTTGCCCCCATCCCCAACGAAACTTATCTAATCTCTTATGCAATTTTCAGAAATTATCTGCACTTATAAACATTAGAGCCATTTCCAGCTACTATGTGATCATTAGCCAGGCAGCTGAACTCCGCTAGATGTCCAAAGGGAGGCGTCATTTGAGACTGGACAACCGCAAAGGCAGCAAATATGCCGTCTTGCCATGTGGCATGCTGCTGTCGCTGCTGCTGCGTGCATTGGCCGCACTCACAGATGCGCTTGTCATAGATACAGATACATGGATACGCAGCGAGCACGAGTGTAAAACGCATAAAATTGCAAATTACAACGCTCGAATGCGTTGCACATGCATGCGAGGTGGCATTCAGCATTGATTCGATTTCATTTGTGGCAACCGCAACGATCGAAGCTCTGCGAAAATCACCAGACAAAAGCTGAGCTGAGCGTGTGGCAAGCAGACGACGGATCTCTAATGGGCAACCAGCATTGACAGCGCGTCTCATGTTGCAATTAGCTAAGCGAGGAGTTAGTGAACCCTAATCTGAACCCCTGCCGAGCCACCCAACGATCCTCTAACATGATCGCTAATCTAGTGTGGAAAGTGCAAGTGAGTGCACTCAAGTCAAACACTCGTCTGTCCGCCCGTCTGTCTGTCTGTCTGTTTGTCCGTCTCGCTGTTCGCCTAATCAGTAATCAAATATTTTTGTACGCCTCTTGGGTTTTATGGCCTGTGTGGGCTGCCGTTTGCGGTTCATTCGCCCGTGGTTCAAAATTGGGTGCACGGATTCGAATTCGGGATTCGGGATTGATGACTCTGCAGTTAAATATTTGACAATATTTATTTGACAACCAGCTGACTTGGTCACACACAGAGAGCCAGGCGCAAACAGTGGCCACAGTGATAAGGCCACTAATCAGCGCACTTGTTTGTTTCATTGTTAGCACAGGGGGGGTGAGGAGGGATCGTGGGTTTGTTGGCGGGATTTTTCGGGTTCCATAAATTAAATGTGCTTGGCATTTCGGGAGTCTCGGGGTCTTGAGTTGATCGCAAGCAAACGATCGCATAATTTGAATTTTTATATTTTATTATTTGATTTACGCCTGGGAAAGATAGTGCCAAATGGCATTAGAGTTGGTGAAAGGCAGACAGCCAAACGATGCGACTACCAAATACCCTGTAGACATTTAAAAACAATTTTGAATAAGAAGTTTTTACTGGCATTTTATGTTGAACAACTGTATATAGGTATTGCAAGCTAATAGACATATAGGATATGTGTGTCTCTGAGATACCCTGTAAATGGTTTAAGAAAAGATTTTTGAATGTTATTAGAGATCATTTTGGATTTGTGCCTAAGAAAGAAAGTTATGAAAAGAATTTGATGTGCGAAAAGCTAAATGAGTAAACGAACTGACTTTAAGATACCCTGTGTTTACTTTTGAATTAATCTTTTGAAAAGGCAAAAGATAGTTCTTATTAGTAATCTAGGGTATAGATAGGAAAAATAGTATAAAGTTCGACTACAACATACCCTACAAAAACAATATACCCTATAAGTAGACCCATAATGAAAATGAAAGAGCAACAGGACTTTATATTCTTTAAAAGGCAATGCACTAAACAGCTAAATATAGATACCCTGTAAATGATTCTAGAATTATTTTATGCTTTGAAGTTTAAGGAATTCCTGCAAATGCTTGTTTTTCGGCGGTTGCAGTTCGCATTTTAAATATTCAAATTAAAGGAACAAGGAGCACAAATATAAGAAAACATTTTTGATAGGGTTTGTTTTTTCAATTATATATGTAGTTAAATTATTCATATGTTATTTTCAAGCATTATACCCTATGCTATATGCACCTTAAGCTTTTTGTGACTTGATAATGATAATCGCAAGTTATCAATTCCATAAAAAATTTACACGTTAACCGAATGTAAACTTACTTCGGATCAGATCATAGACATTTGCATACTGAATTCCATTGCACTACCTGCTCAGAAGGTGTGCGAGAACATAGAGAAACCGAAAATACTTTCAAAACCGTGTGAAAATAAGCTGCATATTTAGGTAATATTATTATTTTTACCATTTGTTTGCCCATAAAACTCTGTCAATTCAATAGACCAAATAAATGCCAGCTTCAAGTCAGCAACTGTCTAATTTTCCAATTGACAAAGTGCCTGACAAAATGTCAACATGCGACAGCCATGTGGGCTACTGCCCCAACCCCCCCCCCCCCCCCCCACCCCCAGCGCTCTCAAGTGCCTTGAACTTTGGAGGTAGAGCGCCCTCTCATTGAAATGCAAACAGTTGCGATACGCCACAAGCCCCAATCCCCAAGCCCTGCCCATCCCCGATCCCCGCCTCCAATTCATGTTATTATTAAAAACACCTAAATGGGTCGCAGCCAAAAGTCGGGCCAACGGTTCGAGCTGTGTGTGTGCTTTGTAGTGCAGCACGTACAATAAATTAGTGACATTATAAAAAAATTAAAACGTGAGCTCCAATAGCTGAGCATATTTTGACAATAATAAATGTTGTTTTTTTATGTTATAGGGTAGCGGGTATTATAATGTTGTCATGGCTTGTGCAACGCATTGAAGTGGAAAGGTATACGAAAGTCGAGTCCATAAGGTCGTAATCTTCCAAGTGTGAACCTTTGTGTACTCAGGAACCAGCGGAACTTTCTTATTGAAACTTGCTACAGAGCCTTCTTTTTGCTGTCTGTATCAGAAACGAAAGGATCGGATAACTATATGATATAACTTTCATAGGCATAGAAAGCCCCAAAATTTGTAATTTTATATAAAAACAAGTAAGAGGTTCTAGTCGGGAGCTCCCGACTAGGGGATACCCTGAATCCTCTTCTTCCAACAGGCGATAGGTATAAAATGAAAGATACTTGATATATATATATACTATTCTAGAAGCTACATGTCAACTTTGGTGACTCTAGCTCGATCTGCGCGGGGACTAGGAGGACCTACAGCTAAAATTTCAATTCTCTAGCTCTTATAGGTTCTGAGATCCTTGCGTTACTACATACGGACAGACGGACAGACGGACGGACGTACGGACAGATGCTGATCAAGAATATATATACTTTATGGGGTCGGAGATGCTTCTTTCTGCCTTTTACATACATTTGCACAAATACATTATACCTAACCTTAACCTATTTTCAATGGGTTCAGGGTATAAAAACCTGATTGAAATTTCCCACTTAGATCAGATGATATCAACAAACAATTGCTATATATCTATAAGAGTATCCAATCTTTATCAGCCCCCAAAAATAAACGCCTCATAATTATCCAGATAGTTCGACGGAGCGCAAATTCACAACACAAACAACGTGACAGAAACTTCCACTAAAAAAAAAAACTCAAGCTGGGATCAGTTGGCGCGGCGGGATGGGGGGAATTGTTATAGCAGCTGGGCTCTGTGAATTGTTTGTTGTTGCTTTCGTGTTTTATAGGCCTCTCCTGGAGCCCGATCCGCGCGCGCTCCCTCATTAGCATGCCGGGCACGAGAAACTGATAATATTCCAAGTTTTCGTCGAGAGAACGGACAATTGTCAATAAGATTGCCGACTGGCAGCACGCACAGCACACACACACACAGCACACACAAGATCCACAGACTGGTTTCGAAACAATTAAAAGAGGCCGTTCATACTCTAAACTGGCTAAAGATCCCACGCTTCGGTGTCCACAAACTCCCCTCAGCTGCCCTCGAAAGCAAAAAGGAAATGTGCGGCATTTAAATAATTTTTCGATGCCAGCCCACACAAAAGTGGACGCAGGTTGATTATTTGTACAAAAATGTTATTGTCAAAATTAATATGCGAAAATTGCATTTTAAATGAGTTACTCAACACACACACGCTCACACACACAGGCACACACTCCCCAACACAGCTTCATTCAACAACAAAAACAAAAGTTAAATGACTTTTGTTTGCGTGAACTTTTGCGCATTTCTCTGGGCCGCGTTCATTTGGCTGTGTTTTTTAGCTTCGCTGTTTATCATAATCAGCGGAAATCATTCACAAAAAAAGAACTACAAAAAAAAACTGTGAGTAAAAAGAGATACTAAAAATACAAACAAAAATATTAGAGATACAAAAACACAACCGAATGCGATCTACCTGCCCGAGCGAAGCTGGTGAATGAACCGCGCGAATGAAGCCCAATCTGAACCAGGTTATCTCCGGGTTTTTCTCACTTTTTCCCATTATCTTTTTCTCTCTCTCTCTCTTTCTCAATCTATCTCCCTCACTCTGTATCTCTCTCTGTTTCTCTCTATCTGTATCTATCTCTATCTGTACCTCTCTCTCTCTCTGTATCTTTCTCTGCCTTTGTATCTCTCTCTGTATCTCTTTATCTCTCTCTCGCTCCCTCTCTCTCTGTTTCTCTTTCTCTCTCTCTCTCTATCTCTATCTCTCCCTCACCCTTTTTCTTCATTTCTCTGTCTCTCTCTCCCTCTCTCTCTCTGTGTCTCTCTCTCTCTTCTCTTAGCCATTAGCAGCCTTTTAGCCGGAATTATCTGTGGGCCGCACTTGACTTTATCGCCGCACAGCGTGTGTTTATTGGGAAAGTCCTGTCAAAGGACTCGTCAGCAGTCACATGTTCTACACACTTTCCGGGTTAGTCCTGCGGCTGGCGGCATGTGCTGAGCATGGCATGGGGTCCTCTAGGTGCGCACAAATGTTTATGTGTGGCATGTGAAAAACTGTGACATGTTTATTAAACTGCTTTAAACAAATCGAATTGTATAGAGCTATGTTTAAGACATACAATTTGAAATATTAATAAGATTAATAAGATTAATTCTTTTTCTGGGTCATCATATTTTATAGAACTAAGGAACAGACCTCGAAATGAATTGCTTCTGATAAAACGTAGAATTTCTTTCCAAAATTTCTTTACTTATTATAGTCAAAAGTTGTGCTACCTTCAATATTAGCGAATCTGCAAAAAAAGGACACCTTGATTTTTTGTAACAATTTGTAATTCCCAATTTGTAGGTCCACCTTTATATACATTTTTTTTATCATATTTAGACTTCCAGTATATAGAAGAAAATTTCAAATAATTTGGATTATGCTTGCAAAATGCAAAAGAAAAAATATT